CCCCCCCCCCTGTCCTCTACCTGAACGGGGAACGACGCTCGCCGAGTGGAACTTGCTACATCCGACGCGTCCATTGTGCGTCTCGTCGCATTGTCGTAAATGTCGTCGGAGTTAGCATACGGCAAAGGCGGCTATCATCGGCCGATGTGTGGATGCGTGACGCGTTTCACCCGAGAGGTCGACTGGTCCTACCCGCGCAGCTTCGATTCTCCGTCTCTTCCTTGGCCACGCGCCATTTGTAACGGCGACTCGACTGGAAAGCTCAAGTCGAATTTCAAATTCAAGCCTGAGTTTCTCACTCGGGGTCGGGTTCAACTTCTTCGGGGGCGAATTTGTGAAAATCGTAAGGAAATTATGAGCCTGAAGAGGTCGACGATTATTTTAATTAACACGGCCCTCGGATGGATCTCCGCCGAACGCCGAGCCGTGAATATCGCTTCTCGGATCTCCCGTTGAAAGAATCGAGAGCCGATACTTTTTAATCCCTTCGATGCGAGCTCCCCTCTCAGTTATGCATCACTTCCCGCAATATTGACTGCCACGCTCAGGTGTGCACTTATCTTAAGTAGCGCGCCGCCATTGTTTCATCTCGGCCGCCGATAACGACGCACTGCAATATATCACAATGAACGACACTTTCGAATGAACCGAACAACAGGACGATCGCGATCCCGCGCTGTCCTCGCGGCGCTATCAACCATTAATATCGACAATCGATAAGGGATTATTCGCGATTCTCCGGTAGGGCCGGAAGATAAATCGAGATCGAGGGAGGAGGGGAGAGAAAGTTCGCGTCTACGTCTATCTACGAGACCTCCTGCGAGAGAAATAAAGAATGGAAAACCTCTTGTGTGCCGTGGGCAGAAACAGCTTTATTGACGAACGCTTCACACAACATCTGTCGCCGAGCTAAATCGCGAATTCTATCTGGAGATATTCTAAGCTAACGAACATTACACAAACATACACGCGCGCAACAGGGCTCAACCCTTTCGCTACGGCCGGCCGCCCTTCGGCTGCGAAGGTAGAGCGCTCCGCTATGTAATTTATTGTACGGTCGGCGGAGGGAAAGTTACGACAGTTTTACCCCCGACGAGCTTCGGAACGCGTGCGATATCCAATAGGGAAATTTAACTTTCGGGAATTTTTCACCTATGAGAATTATTAAAACGAGTTCTCCCATCGGATACGGATGCGTTGCGAAAGTCATTGAAAAGGGATTCCTGGGAACTTTTCTTCTCCATCGGGGGCCGCATCTCTGCATTATAATATTATCTCTGCATATAAAGTGAGCTAATAGCCAGTAAGTGAGTGAAAGTTACATTTCAGACATTGTAGCAATCGACTGCTGCTCGACAACGGGCACGCTATCCGTTGACTATCGACCAGCAAGTCACAGAAGAGAGCCGTTATAAGGCGCCTCTCATCTCGCGCGATCGTTCAGCAGGAAACCACTATGGTGGCGTGTCGTCTTAAAGAATCGCTCGGCGGGGAGCCGCCGTGAAGCGACGCGAAGTGGTAGCGAAAAGGTTAACCTCGGGTCGCTCGTCAGCTCGCGTCGCTTACGGCCGGCGCGATCTCGATGACGATCGATCGGCGGAAGTTCAGCGGAAGCGGCGCGAAGGCTACAACGACGATCTCTCACGGAGCGAGATTCTCTTTCCTCCCTTATTTCTCCCTCTCTTTCCTTCTCTTCTCCTTGCACGTTCATCCGCGCGAATTCGATCGAACGCGCGCCGCGCTGTTCCCCCGCGCGCATCATCTGTGCCGACTTACCTGTGATGCTTGCGGAGCTTCTCGTGATGCGAGTTTTCGTTCTCACCGCCGTCGGACAGGGCGCGAGTCGTTTGCCGCGGGGATGCCGGGGGTGTGTGCGGCGAGTGCGCCGTTAGATTCGTTTGCGGACTCAATGGCGCACCTGCGTTGCCGGGCTGTATTCCCAGCATGCAGTAAGGATCGCTGAATCCTGAGGAAAGTGACAGCGGTGAAAGCGGCCTCGCGCACCGTCTATCGCTCACACCCTTCCCCTTTCGCCAAACTTGCATAATGTATAACAGAGAGAGAGAAAGCAGCGAAACAACAGTCGAATAACGTTGGTCAATCAATTTCGTACCATGAATTGTATTCTTCTGGAACTTCAATTTCTTCCATTTATTTTTATTCCGTTGAAACGGAAAATGATGAGAAAGTTACGCGGCTGTATTTTAAGAAAGATAGGCTGTGTTCTGATTTTTTTTTTTGCAAATTAATAGAGTGTGAGAATGGAAAGAAAAGCTCTCTTTCCGGACAAAAATCAGCAGCCGGTCTGATATTTAACCGATTTCAATGATTCTTTTTTTCATTTACTCGTTAAAAACTTTTTCTACAACGTAGATCTTTTTAAGACAAAGTCGCATTCAAATCGGCAGATGGCGATATCGTTGTCAAAATTATTAAATTTCTACGATGTCGCGCTAAAATGAGTATATACGGGTTCTGGGTATATACAAGTTTCTGAGGTCGCCGATGACAAATTTAGGGTAAAATCTTCAAAATTGAAAATGACAGCCTTGATATAGCAATAAAAAATAATCACCGTGTGAAATTTTATTTTTACTTTTCCTACGTCGTAGGAAAATTGATAACAGGTAAATTAAAGAAAGAATCGTTGAAATCGGTTAAATATTAGACCGGAGACCGGATCTTTGTCTGATTTTCTTTTTACCAAAAAGAGCGCTTTACTTCTCATTGTGCGGCGTCGTAACCCATTTGGCGACGAGAATATCGAGGAGGGCCGACGCGAGTTCATTGTGGAGCGCTTCCAAATTTTCAAGATTAAACATCCCCGCGTAACCGAGTTAGTCCAAAGTTGAAGTTCTGCTGAAGCAAAGCGGCTCGTTAAATTAACCACCACGGGACACGGTCTCTCGTTATTTATATTCGTGTTCGTTTGCAGCCAGAGCAAATTTACTTTCGCGAGAAGGACATTTTATTCTTTTACTTCTTCTCTTGTGTGGATTTTTCTTTCATTCTTTAAATGATTCATAACCCGTGCGAGTTAAAGCTGGGCGTCGAGAACGAGCGCGGCACAGCGGTGGAACGGAATGCACTCACCGTTGACGTCCTTCGCCTCGAGCCCGTCGGCTTCGATCACCACCACGCTCAGCACAACGATAGGTGGCTGCAACAACGAGAAATAAGTTACGTGTCGTTTATTTTCGCCACGGCGGCGCCGATAACAACCACGTGAGGGCATCCGACGACGACGACACATTTTTCGCCGGCGATGCCGCGGCACCGCCTTTCCAAGGAGAGTCAATAAGCTGCCGGCATACCTTCTCCTCCGTGGCGATATTGAGATATCGCCGGTGCTGATCCTGCGGGACGCCGAAGGCTTCTTGGGCGTACCGGTATAGGTCCTCTTTGTAGTGAGCGTACTGCCCTGTGCTGGCGCCCACCGTGTTCGCAATCGTGTAAAGGACTTCTATGTACAGTTGTTCCATCTGAAAAAAAAGAAACGAGCGGAAAATGCAATCTTCAATTCTTTCTTAACGATATACATTCTGCTAGATATTTACTTTATTCTCTCCGTGTATCTTTACAAGAATATTTCACTGTTTTTAGACCGCGAAAATTGAAAGCACGCATTCGGCTGAACGAGTACGACCTCGTTTTCAGGTCGGAAAGGGAAATTTTTTTCCGTAACAATAAGCAATTGTAGCAAATTGCACACGAATATATCCGAATAGTATTAACGTACTATCGAATATTTTTTTAATAATAAACGCGCACAGTGCTGTGTAAATTTGAGATGGAGCAAACGTACATTCAGCTGAAATATTTGTTTAACGCTCATAAACACTCATATTGTATATTTGGAAATAGCACGAATAAATAGCACGACTCTTTGACGTGCTTCTTTCCTGTATTGAAACGAAGCTGAGTGAAAGAGGAACGTATTAACATGCTGTCACTCATCAGCTGGAAAACGTGTATTGAAGAAGGGCAATCTGCTAAAAAATTCTCATGCATACTCGCGTGTACTCGTCATATCCCTCCGTTTAATAGACCGTGCGTGCCTGAGAGAGCAAAAAACGAGCATAAAAATGTTAGGACGGTTTAGAAACGGACTATACGAGAAGTAGAAACGGTGAAATATTTTTTAAGGGTACGCACGGAAGATAGAAAAGTGCATGAAAAAATGAGGAAGGAAAATATGTGTGACAAAAAGAAATGATTAAAATTAATTAAATGTCCACTACCAGTCTTTCCTTATTCAAGCAATTTCTTTTTAAGTCAAGTCGCGACAAAACTACACTTGCTGACGGCTTTTTATCGCTCATGTTTGATTCTGATGTTGATTTTATTTCTTCCCGCCTTCACGGCTCGTTTCAAACAATCTTCTCCTGCAAATGATCGACCTTAGTTTTTTTTCCTTTCTCCTGTTTACTTGACGAAAACAATAATAACAAGAGGATATCTGCCCTCTGGGAGTTATGATTTTGTAAGTATCGCTTACGCTTATCTCATCGAGCAATTCTGTATACAGGGCTGATATCTTTTTATGGGAAGAGAAACATCGAAATATTTATGAGATTAAATTTTTTCCTTTGATTTTTCCTATCTTCCTATCAAAGTATACTAGAGTAATCTTACAACTCGAAGGAAAAAAGGGTCTCTTCGATTTTCAGCTGCGTTGAGAATTGTAATAATATAATTTTATTGTTTATATATATATATATATATATATATATATATATATAATATTTAGATACGAAGCAAATATGATATCGCGCGCTATTGAGGCGCCGAGCTCCTTGGGGGAAAAAAGAAATATATATATATATATATGTATATATTTCGAAAGTTCAGATAAAATACGATTAAATTGCGATTTAAGGATTTGCTTTGTCCCGCTGAACGCTCCTCTTTGCTCCTTTTTGCAGGGATTTAAAGCAATATAGTGTTCATTATAGCAGGTAGATTACAAACTCATTTCACGGGAGATAAGGCGTAAAACCGATCCAAGGGGCTTCGCGCTTTCGCAACTTTGGCCAAGTTTGTGTTTTTCACAGCCCGTAAAAGCACAAGTTCTCTCTTCATTATTATTTTTTACCGGCATGTCTCTCTCAGGCACAGATGAATGTAACGAAAAAAAAGAATGATGTTTGTAAAAATTTTCAGAAAAATTACGTTGGACAAAAACTGTTTCTTGAGGGAGGTAGATAGGTTTGAAATTTCGGAAAAGACTTTGATGCTCCGTCTAATGATGACCTGTTATTTAGATGCCCATTATAGCTAAAATGCTAATGAGAGTTTGATGCGTATGCCGTCATCATAGCAACATTTAACGATGGGAAAACGTGATATCTTGATTTAATAAACGGCTTATTATCAAAATGTGCGAAACGATCGGCGAAAACCGTCTCGAGAAAGCAGAGATCGCATTTACCAAAAGGATTGAAAAAAGGTGAACAGCTGCTGAATGATAAGCCGGACTAGAAATCCTGTTTTATAGCTCAGGTAATTTTTAATTAATGTAAATAGCATATATCACTTTGAAAAATAATACGCAAACTGTATATGCGTTTTTCCCAGACCATGTTTCTTCAAGGTTTAGCAGCGATAATTCAAGAACGAACAAAGATATCGAGATATTTTTTTTTTTTAATTAAAGAGCACTAAATTTTCTACAGAACTGATGAAACTAATTCTGGCAGGAAAATGTTATTTATTTAAAAGTTATTGCGATAAAATGGATTTTTTCAGCGAGTTTCCGGTTTCTCGTGCTACCATTTCGTTAACCTTTACCGGATCTTTCTTCCTTTAGTTTATTCTGCGGAGAAAACCTTTAGAAAAACAATACCGTCCGCTGCTATTGAAAATGTTAATTGGACCACTCGCATTCGCTGCAAAACCACAGGCCTCGCGCAACATGCACCGTGGAAATGGATTTGACTGCAGCATTTCTAGTTGTTAATATTTTTCAGTTTAATTGGTATATTTTTATAGTTTTATAGTTAATATATAGTGTAAATAGCTTACAAACGGATTTTGTATTCGATCGATTCCCGTGCCTGCAATAACGAATTGGATTTCATCGAATTTCGCGAGTTCAAACCTATCTATCCCTCTTAAACGAAGTTACGATTGTTATTTCCTATTTATTTTATGCTTCTTGGTGCCCATATTACTTCATATTCCGAGAAGGGGCTTGTTTATTGGTTCGTTGGGTTGATCATTACAAATAAGTCGGACGACGTTGAGAAGTGGAATCCTCGTTTCTCGTCATTATGCCTCGATGCCGCGGAAAATTTTCCTCTCCTTCCCCGTTTCTCGTTAACAAAGAGACAACGCCGGCTTTTCGCCCATTATTCTCCCTTGAAACGCGGCGCATCGCAACTTTCACGCTACATCGAAGGTACCCCGGGCGGGGGCACGTGGATGAGCATTAAAGAGAGCCGCGAACGACGGCTCGGCACGAACGATGGAGGAAAATGCGAACGAGGAGGCAACGCCGAAGCGCGATACTCGCTCTGTTCGGCGCACACGCGCGCGCGAAAACTTCGTAGAAAGCCTTCGCGCGACTCTGCCGCCTGAAACGCTATTTACTTAAAAGTATTTTTCCGCGCGGTGGATATTTATTTTCTGCTCGACTCTCTTCCTCCCCTCCCCCCTCTCTCTCCCCTCTCTATCTCTGCCGTTGTCGAAAGAAAAAGAGAAAAAGCTGACGGAGAGAAGGACGGCGGAGAGGCGCGACAGCCGGGCGAAAAATCGCGCGGATAACCAGAGGATATCCCGACGCGTGAGAAATTCGCACGCACACACACATATATCAGGGAAGATACCGCGAATACACAACTCCGTCCGCATGACTGATGGATCTATAAATCTATGTGGACGAGGGAATGTACAGATCCGTAAATCTAGATCCGCAGATCCATATTGGACTCGTGGATATCCGCGCGAATAGCGGAATTCATTCGAATTTATATACGTCTCATTTCGGAGCGGCGGAAATACGTGACACGTGACTCTTTCCTTCTCTCTCTCTCTCTCTTTTCAGATGGAGACCTCGTTTTCGACGCAGAGATTTGTGCATTTAACGTTACATTTCGCGTCGGATTTTACGTGCGTCCGAACGAATTTGAATTTCAGATTCGTGTCTTTCGGAAAATATGAGAATTTCACGCAGCGCCCGGCACGCGTTTCATCAATGTCCGCGGACTTGACAGATGCGCGATCGATAAAAATCAGCGCGTTTTAGCCCTCCGTTATATATATATATATATATACACACACATATAGAAAAATTAATGTGTAAAAGCGTAATTTTGTTTGACAAGTACTAAATTTATGCGGCTTCTTGATGCAACACGGAAAATACGAAACCTCCTTAAGAAGTCACGACGCTGTGATTTGAAATCGGAGCTTTCGGAAGGGAACGCTGGGTGTACAACAAGCGCCGGATATATTAACCCTTTGCACTCCGCTGTCGCCGTAGCGGCGACATGGTTGTTTTGCTGCCTCGGCACTTTAAGAAATTTTAAGTCCTAAAATTTATGTTTTTCTTTTATAATATAAGTTAGAATATGTTTTGTTATAAAATAGCTAAGAAATAAAAATTTTGTTTTATTGAAACGACTCTATTTTTCTTCTACATCATAGGTATGTACTTGGAACTAATAGCCTCTATGCATTACTAGGCTGGAGTGCAAAGGGTTAATATACGAGTTATTTTCCTCGCGAGCTTTTCTCCGTACGCTCGGCAAGTCGAAGCGACGGTACGGGCTACGATATAGCGCTCTCATTACGGGCTCGCCGGCTGTTATTTCGATCGAGCGCGCCCGTCTGACCCGTACTGCGCCGACTACTTAAGATAATACTTCAAACTCGTCTATGTGTGCGTGTGTTTGTATGAGAACAGACGTAACTACTCGTCCGCATGCAAGCCAGCCGCGAGCGGGATGACGCGGTGCTGAATGCAGCGGCGCCGCGCGGCACGCGATTCGCGAGAGCGCGGGAAACTCGCCGTCGTTTTTTACGATAGCCGCCGTAAAAATGTCACTTTCCCGGCGCCAAAACGAGCGAGACAAATTGTAATCCGCGGGGGAAGAAATGAGAGAGGATACATGGCGCGCCTGATCGCGCGAAATTTTCAAAGAAGCCCGAATCGCGCGTTTGCTGTAAAACAGCAGGGTTTAGGTGCAAAATGGGAAAAACGAAAGGGGGGGAGGAGAGGAGGGAAAGAAACGCACGCACGCTTAGTCGTACGTAGCGAAGTTACATACACCGACCTCTTTTTTGCTAAGCCGATACGGTTGTGAAGTCAAAGTCGAGTCTCTGGACGGCGGTTGCGGCTCCATCGCTCTCGCTTCCACTTCCTGCAGGACAGCACGCCTCCGATTCTCCTGTTTCCAGGATAACGCGGTGAAGCTCTCGAAGAAGGATCCATCTGTCTCTTGAACACTGTAATTAAAGGACAGTCAGACGTCAAACGATATCTCGTTGCACCGGCTTCGAAGGAGGTAATGTTCTTCTCGCCGCCACGCGGAGAGGAAACATCGCAACGGCACACGCGGTAAACGGTTACGACGATTCGACTCCGTCGTACACATCAACGCAATTCGTACCCCCGACTTATTAAACCCAGTGATTTTTTTCCCTCTTTCATCGCGTGCGCGCGACCGGCTTCTCGCAATCTCGCGGAATTATTGATCGCTATCGACGCTCCCCGGCGTTGGTATTTTCACGTAACGCGATGTGCGCACGTACGTGAGCGGAACGAACGCGAACGGGACTGTCGAGTGACAAGCTCGATATCTGGCAAGATCCACTCGATCTTCCGTTGTCAATTAATTCGCATTACCGTTTGTTTCTTCGTGAGACAGGAATGCGGACGCACCTGGGAATAGAGTAGCTTGATCAGCTTATGACGTCATTTTGGCCAGCAGCCAGTCATGTCGTCGGGCTTTGTCGGGAAATAGCGTTCTCCCTATTAACGCGAGCACGATCATTGGAATCAAGATTGGCCGGGCGGGCACGAAAACGCGCGCGGCATGGCGTTAACGGAGAGAGGTTGTTACGCAACCGTGATGGCGCAAACCTATAATTGTTCCAAGATGATAGCATCTCCCGGTGCCTGAATACGTATCGCGAGAACATGTTCTATCTGCGGTCGGTCGAATTAAACTCACGGAGTGAACTCAAAATGTATAAAGGTAAATAATCAAAGTACAGGATAAATAACTGGAAAGTGATAAATATATAAATAAATAATCTTTTCGGGCTGGACACCGCATAAAAATCACTATTCTACTACTTATATAAATTTGTTATCTTATTATTGTGATTACAATTATTATTGTTATTTATCGATCGATGTTATTAACGCACGTTGATTAGCCAATCGCAACGTTTCGTCTCTCGTATTACGCAAGTGTCTGAATAATCGAATATGATGGGGAACGATTTTATTCCGCGACGCAGAGCGGCAACGGGCGCAACCGGTGCGGCCGTTGCTGCACTTTCCGCGTCCTAACACTCGACTCTAACATTATCCGAACTAATCCGATAATGTTCTCGTTTCCGTTTAGCCTCGTGCTCGTACATTGTGAGTGTGACAGTCGTCCAATTTGCCAAGCTCTCGCTGCGCTTCCGCGCCGCAACAAGTCACGCTTTAAATCTCGACCACCACGACGACGACCTCGCGGCACAGCGCGGTGCGGGAGAATCGGGGAGCGCACGGGACGTGCTCTCGGGGTTTTGTGTGCACGCCGCGGGCTTAGAAGGTAAAAAGTCTTATAACTTAACCGCGCCGACGAATAGAGGAAATGCTGGTATTACGGAATGCCCTGAGGTTTTTCAAGATAAATCGAAAACTATATTATGGATAACTGAAGTTAATTTTCACTGAGTTGCAATGCCAAATGTTTCTTTTCTTCTTTTTTTGCAACGTGTTCCTAATGGATTTTATTTATCTATGGTAAGTTTAATGTTATGTCAATTTTCTCGAAGGTAGATTTTGAAAGAGTAATAGAGAATGAGTCGAATATATATAAAACGGAATGCGTTATTTATCTCGTGAAAAGAAAATTGTCTTGTATTTTGATAAATAATAATCGAATAGTCTGTAATAATTACTTTATTATATTTTTATTTTTTACATTATAATCTCTGTTTGATCTAATAATTCCACTGTTATCCGCTGAGTTTCGACGCTTAACAGATTAAAAATCGTGGTATTCCATATTACCCGACTGCCCTGTATTACTCGCTCTACTTTCTAATACACGACATCGATGGTGGTTCGCGTGTATAATTCGAGAATCGATTAATTAGTGGCCCGAGCGACTTGGGCGTTTTACATCTTAACGGTGTCTGTATAATTGAAAAGCAGCTTCGTCGCCGACGGCTTACCAGTTAATTCAATATTTAGTTAAGTAGAGACTTTGCCTCGTGGCGAGACGCATATCGCCTTGGCTCGCTTTGCTTCGCTTCACTTCGCGACGCGAGCTTAATTGCGACGTTAAAAAGTGTGCACTTTTATTTCCATTTCCGTAATTATATCGCGACGAGACGCGAGGAGGAATTACGTAACGCACGCGTGCAATTCGATCGCGTTAATTTGGTCTCGTTAGTCCCACGGAAGGTTTTTCCCGGGAAAGTCGCGCGTGAGGTGCGACTTGAGTCGAAAAAGGCAGACGCTCGTCCGATATCCGTCAATTGACGTCGCGAAGCAAATCGCGGCGGTTCCTTCGATTTCTCGAGTTTCATTCAATACAGAAGATAGACGGTAAGTTACGTTTCGAAATTTACTGCGAAATTCACGGCGAAATTTAGCGCAACAGAATAGAAATTGAGAGAGCATGTCGATAGTTGTCCGCTCTTCATTTATAAAATTTACCATGAGGATGGTAAAAAATTTACAAGCACTTCATTTTTCAATATAATCCCCTTGATTTTCAATGCCCTCAGTCACAATGTGTCGCAAGTTTCTTTATTCACTCGGGAAAAAAATGTACTGCCAACCCGCACAAATTTATAACACAAGTGCGAATAATATTTGATAATTATTGAATATATCCGGATGTAAAACGAAGCCTATTCGCGAAACGAATCGATACGCGATTCGTTGCTCGCTTCCTCTAACTTCCAACTAACGCTCGATAATTCCAACTGATGCCCCGGTATTGAGACGACTGTCAAATCTGCCAATTAGAGTGACATGTACATCCAAACCAACCGAAACGCGTAATCAATCGTATCCGAGCGAGGTTCAATGGATGAGCCTGCCTGTCTCACGCGGCTAATATATCATATAGTTTCGCATTGTTTCGCTTTGTTTCACCGGCGATCCTCGGAGCTCCTCCCGCTAATCGGAGATGTACACGTAACATCCGGGCGAGACGAGGCATCGGAGTAAAGTGGCGGGTGTGGGACTAAATCAAGGGGACGAAGGCACGTCGTCGGGAAGACGCGGAAAGGACAATAATGCCGTCACCGAGCGCTTTTTACGGGGACTGTTAAGCGGGCGGTAAGAAAAAAGAGCCGTCGAGAGGGAGAAAATGCCGCGGGAGAACGCAACGAGCCGTGGGCATCCTCGGTAATGGAAACCGAAAGCACACCGGTGACATTCTTCTCGTCGTCATTCTAACGCTGAGAGCACGTCCCTGCCCGCCGTGAATCGTAATTCGATCAGCGTCGACTTCCCTTTTGGGCCCGCAGCACTCAACTTTCAAAGCCCATCTCCCTTTCCGCCCCTACCGGTCGCCCTTCGAATTAGGGTTATAATCCTCTAATTAAAGGCGGAAACGTAACCAATTTTAGTCACACCGTACAATGCCCCCTTGCACCTCCTCGTTTCTGCGCCTCGAGGAAGAACAAGCCAATTTCCCGGATTCATAATCCGGCAATATAAAGGCGCACACTTGGTCGAACCGAGAATTTCAGCTGGGTGAAGAGGGGCTGCGATATCCTATGTTTGTTGAAATAATATTTAATATTCAATTTTTTTCGAACATTAAACTCGCACGCGAAATTTCGACGTCGATCGTTTCTCCGAGATGCATATTTATTCTCGCGTTTCGTATTTCTCATTTTATCTCCGAAGTGATGTCCACGGGAACTTTACGACTCCCCGACTCGAAAACACATTTCGAGAAAGTAATTATTTTAAGAAATTCGCCGTATCGAATCCTCCGTTTTGATTTGGCAAATTTCGACTTTGGATTCGCAATCAGCGGCCCCGAAAACCTGCACGTACTAAAATTTCGCCCAAATATGTTCAACGGAAAAAATGTGTGCAACAAAGGATCAATTATTAATTTTTATGTTCTTTCATTATCACATCCACGAGCTTCCTTTTATTCGTTTACCTTTCCTTCGTTCATTTTCCGACGTATTTCCTCCCGGGGAAGATTCTTCGAAACTTCCCCGGGAGGAAATAGTTCCCGGGGAAGATTCTTCGAAACTTACGACGTCCCGCAACTCTTCCAATTCGCCGATGAAACGGTAAGCAGCATTTCTCACGTTCTATATTTCCTATATTTCTGCAATTTATCGACTGTGCGTGATGGCCGATAAGGAACCCGCCGGCGTCTCTTTCTTTGCGCACTTCGCCGTCGAAGAGCGAGCTGGCGCGCGGAATCACGCACGGTAATTGGAGCTTACGTGTCGCACGGTATATCCAAGGCTAACGTGGTGCATCTGATTACCGACTTCTAACTTGTTTAATTGTTATTTAACAACTTCACCGCCGTTTGCCGTCGAGTTTTTCCTCGGATTAACCGCGGCCGAGAATACAGTGAGAGACCGAGCGATAAGATTCTTGCGTTAAGATTTTCCTCGGCGGGCGTGTATTAAAGGTGAACAGATTTCCGCACAAGAATACAAATTTTTCCGTGCGTCGTCTCGGCGCCGTAATTTGTATTCCGCCGGAATATACGAAACACGCTTGTTCGCGGAATCCCTCGGTCGGTTCCTGCGATCCTCAATCTCGGTCAATTGTGATGAAGCGCGCGTCGTTCGTTTCGCGAATTTGTCGTTATTATTTTATAAATTTCGCGAGAATGCGCGCGCACACGACAAGAGGGATTCTCCCTCCTCCCTCCCCGCACCAACCGGGATGGCCGAGTTACGAATATTGTCCGGGATCGGTCAAAGAAAATTATCCAACGCAGTTGGCGAATAATGAACAAATTGACTAACGCACACACACACACACACACGCGCGCGCGCGCGTGCGCATTTATCGCGCGCGGTTTTAGCAAGTATTGAATTAATAAATTTGGATTGCGCATTTAGAGCTCACACAACGCTGCGTACCGTAAATCCGCCTTCCGATCGCGGATATTTCCGTGCTTGAGATAAATTTTACCGTGTCGTAATTCGCGTGATTCTTCGTTACTTTGAGAAGAAGTGTCAGCGCGCCTCGCAATTCCTCCTCGATCGAGAGCCATTTTTGTTAT